CTGCGATATCGACCCGTGCAACACGAATAGTACGCCCGTTTGGTGGAAAGACCGGATAAGGAATGCCTGGAAGTAGCTATAATTTGATCAGGTAAGGTTACTCATAGTGGGTTATGCGCCTCTATAAACGCAGTAAATAAATATACGCAATTGTGGTACTATCAGGGCCGTTACATTCGCAATTACAGCAGTACTATGCCGCAGTCCTTTTAAAGATACTCCCAACTCCTTTAATTTCTATAAGTTGAATGTGATAATCAAATGACTTCTGGTGACTTCACCTAGTTTTTCTATCACAAAGAAGGGCGACATAAGTCGGTCTTCCTGTACGGCGGTTCTCATAGATTGGAAATAAGGATAAGGCTGCGTTCATACCTTGCAGCACAAGCGACTAAGAAAGTACGGCTATCGATTGAGCGAACACCACCACCTTCAGTGTCCAGGTACGAGAGAATGAGGAAGCAGGAGGGCAGCGGACAGCTGGATTAGACGTCGTGAAATTGCGGCGTTCCGACCGCTCCGTACTACTACACAATACCGTAAATTAAATTGCATGATGCTGTGCTTTGGCAGTTGTACGGGTCGGTTGCAAACGACACAATTTCACGACGCCTAATGCAGCTGTCTACTCCCTCATACTTCCCAATACTTTACCCAGTCTACTACTCTGCTACCCTACTACTCTGCTACTACTCTGCTACCCTTCTGGTTCCCCACACTATCCACTACTGGAAGCTGGTGGACGCTGCTGGATGTTGCCGCTGACTAGATCAACATCTAACTTTCCTAGTCGCTGGCGCTGATGGTCGCTCAAAACGATAGTGGTTGCTGGTGAGCGCTGCCGCAAAGCCACCAGCAGACGTACAATTCAGTCTGCTTATCTTCGCAGACAAATCTATTAACAATTCATTGACTTCAGAGGACAGAAGGCTTGTTGGCCTGAGCAGGAAACCCACCTGGGACTAAAACCCTTCCCCTCGCGCGTGTTAAGCGCGCCACTTGCCACTACACCACCGCTGCCTCTCGTAGATAATCTGCCATGAGTCAAGAAAATAAAACAAACCTCTGGGCCTCCAAACATCAAACAAGAACAGAAGAACACTCGGCCGTCCTGGTATTAAACAAGTCTCCACCTTCTGCAAAGACGAGTATAATTTTCATGAAACATGCTGGAACGGGCACAATAGTGCCACAGATCAAAGTAATCGTGAGAGCAAACCTTGGCTAGATCTGCCCTCGACACATACGCTTCGTAAATGGTGAGGCCTCGTTCGTTTGTGGCCCGTATAAGACGACTATGATGACGAAATATGACTGGAGTATCACTTTGGTTACCAGAAGCACGAGTCTTCTCTTCGAAAAATTTCAACGCCTTAAAGTACTTCAGTTTTAATCTGAAGCTCCACGAAGACTCAAGCACTCACCTGATTATAAACATCGCAAAGAACTTGTGTCCGAGGCATATCCACAACATACGGCTCATTCAACAAGCTTTCGTTGTCACTCACCATGTTCAAATGAACTTTTATCTATAAATGACACCGGAGGACTTCGTTTTCGTAGACGAAAATTGAAAACGGGCAGTTTGACGAAGGGGGGGGGGGCATTTTGCACTCTCGCTGCTTCTCGTTGACGATTCGAGCCGTCTACAGAAATAAGCTTACAAGAGTTGACGGGTTTGAACATGGTGGCTCGACGAGCTTGTTCCAGCTTCACAAGGAGTTCACAGGTTTCACCAGAGGAACTTGTAAACCGGAACTACTGAAGCAGCGAAAATGCAGGATGAACCCCCCTTAGCCGAACCGCGCCGAAAGCACTCACATTAACTAGATTCAGCTGATATATTCGTTGTCGTTCTCGCTCCGCTTCCTGCTCCTTCCATTGACTCTTTAGTTGGGTGATATGTTGAGGTAAGTCAGCCGTGCGGATAAAAGACGAATTGTGTTTACTAATCTGCAAAAAAAATCGAACAGGATCACGTGAACTTCGAAAAAATTCGGGAGTAACTGTAGCCAACCTTTCTGTACATTAACATATAGGCATTGGTGTTACTGGTAGACCATCCTCCATATGAACCACCAAAACTTTTTGCAATTTCTTCAGGACCTACTGGCTCAACACGGGTGTCATTAAAGCAATACCATCGGCCTTGATCCATATTTCTGCAAGCTTCATTTTTTGCAGGAAGGAAAGTTATCAACGGAGATGGGAATGAAACATGAAGATATTTAACAAGTTGTTTGCTGATTGAAGGAAAGACACCCTACTTGATATGTGCAAAGTAATGTCCTCCTGCAGCACTCCCTTGATGAACCATAACAGAAAACAGTTCATAGACATATTCTCCTCGTTTCAGCAACTTATTCACGTATGCACGGTCCAGTTGTTGGCCAGCGCTCACTTCTGAACCAAAACTTCATTCAAATGGGCCAAAGTACTGAGAAGTAAAAACAACAGGACGAAAGCAAATTTGAAGTTTATCATAAAAATATAGTTGTACATGATTCACAATTTTGAAAAAGTTGGTACAATTTTGGTAGACTATAATTCCTGAGAGTTAACAGAGCTAAGGGCCGTACGGCCTAATGAGGAGGGGGCGGGGGTGAGAGATGGGAGGAGAATTGCACATTCGCTTGTTTCTTTCAGCATTTCCTCTTGAATTACACGTCTCCCCTTGGTGAGACCTATGGTTTACTGTCAAGTGTAAAGATAGCTGGTGAAGTTCCATAGCTTTACAGAAACTTATAGATCTCCACAGGAGGCATCGGCACTGATCAATGTGAGCCATCGTAAATGCCCCACCAAGCCGGATGCGCCCATATCCACTGGAATTAATAATTATGAAGTTTGATACGACCCCAAGAAGCAGTTTCGATCACAGCACAAGGTTACCTACAACAGATACAGAGTACAGAAATCCTGTCAACAAAAAAAAAAATTGAAAGATTACGTCATAGTAAGATAATAGTACGTCACGTCACCGGGATCCAGCGTGGAAGTCAAAAAGAAAGGAAAACAATAGCGATGAACTTCTTAGGCTGCGTTCATACTTTGCGTCAGCGTACGCCAGCGACAGTGACTAGGAAGATATAGGTATCGATCTAACGTACGTCAGCGCTTTAGCGGACAATCTGAGCTTGACTAAAACTATTCGCGAAACGTTGGTGTATCCTGAATCGATGCCTATACTTCCGTAGTCACTCGAAACGTATGAAAGCAGCCCAACGTTCGAACACATCAACGAAACACTGGGATAGCTCACCGGTATCTCCAGTTGCGGCAGAAAACTCCTCACTAGAAAATTCGGCGACATTTGGTGGATGAACAAAGGGGTTCAGATCCAACACGTCAGGAAACGTCATCCTGAAACAATAAAGTGGAGAGCAGTCGAGTTTGTATAGTGGGTATATTACCTGTCATTCAGTTTTATCCTATGCATGGTGTTGTAGTCGAAATCGAAACGTTTGAGCTGAATGGTGAGCAGATACGGGAATTCTGTTACACGCAGACCCTGTAAAGCACAATGAAGTTGCAGTCTAAAAGCTCCAATATAATATGATTGATCTACCTTATGAGCGTCTTGTTTTGAATTGCATCGCTCGCAAAAGTACTGATTACTCCCATCGAGAAGTTCAGGAGTAATGAATGCTTGAAGTGCTTCTTCCTGAAATTCCTCATGGCGACTCAGATTTAGTGGAACGATCGATTTTTCTATTAAATCATCCCATTTAAAAAAGTGGAAGGTTTTTTTCATGTAAATCGAAGAGGAAATCAGATAAAAGTGCAGCATTTTGGATTTAAGTTAAGTATATCCCTCCTTCATAAATAATCCGCTCCCGTTGCCCCGAAAGCGTGTGGACTACTGGTACTTTCGTTTTTTCAACAAAGGCGAGCAAATCGCTGCTGATGCCAATTTCGGCGAACGACAAAACGTTGTAGCGTTTGCCATCGAACAGCATCTTCGACTAAGCAGAACAGTTGAAATCGCACGGTTTTATGTTGGGCGAATGAGGCGATTGAACCCAGGTCTTACATTAGTATTGTTTGTGTCCCAGCACTGCCCTACAATACAGTTACTCGGGGTCTGGCAACGGTGGCCTTCTTGTAGTTGTGTGGTAGCATCCATTTGTCGATCTGAATGCCGAGGAACAGGCAATATGCAGACAGTGACGGATTTGTTCTCTGTATAGAGCCGCTTGAAAGCCACAGTGTGGGAATCCTTGCTATGATGATCATCCACTTGCGCCCACGTAACTCCTCATGGTAGAACTCGGGCGGCTTCTCCTCTGCATTCATACAAAATTGACGATTGTGAGGAGATCAAGATCGCCCTTATTTTGACTAGGGTAGCGGTACATTTCCACAGTCGTGAATGACATCTTATGCTGAGAACATTACTGCTAGAGGCATAGAATCGGTACTGCGTTCGTGCTTCTACAAGAAAATTAGGTACCCATGCGCACACCCTCTTGACCATCCTCAGTTTATCGGACATAACTCGGGCAGCAGTTGCAGCAGGGATGTCAGTCTCGCGGGGAAGCTCGACAAGGGTCCAGGCTCTGTGATCAGACATTCAGCGCTTGACTTCATCCACCCCTTTTCTTGTACAGGATGAACAATATGACGACAACAAAATTTTTTCCTTTCTTCCTTCTTCGCTTATGAATCAAACCTTCCACCTTGCATTTCGAGAACACCATTTCACGTAACTACTAGTCCGGCACAGGTCAAATTTGAGCAGCGCACTCTCCTCTTACGGCGCTTGATTCGAAAATCCGGCGCTGATTTTGACCAGGCTTCTTTCCAATTTCTCGAGAACTTCTGGGCTAGGTTCGCCAAATTTCACAGATACATAGCTAAAGGTACTAGCTTCCAAATGGTATAGTAGCCCGCTGCCCTATTCCCTTTGCTTTCCTGCCATCCTGCTATATATACCATTTTCACTTTAAATCGGACACTTTTCAAACCAAATCGGACACTTTTCAAATCAAATCGGACACACCCCTTACAATTAGGTGGTTGATAACTAGACCACACTAGGTACTGTTGCAAGCCCCGCCCCGCCCACTTCTCAGCGCGGACAGGGTTTTCCGAGATGCTTCATGAAATCTGCTCCCTCGACTTTTTTCGTTTTTGCCCTTTGCACACACACTTCAACTGAAAAAGATTGATACCTATACAGATCTGACTCCGCCCACTTAACAATGAAGTTACGTAAGTTCTAA